AGTAACCCAAACCCACGCCCACTAGTAACCCCAACCCACGCCCACTAGTAACCCAAACCCATGCCCACTAGTAACCCAAACCCACGCCCACTAGTAATCCAAGCCCACGCCCACTAATAAACCAAACCCACGCCCACTAGTAACTCAAACTCACGCCCACTAGTAACCCAAACCCACACACACTAGTAACTCAAACCCACGCCTACCAATAACCCAAACCTACACCCACTAGTAAACCAAACCCATGCCCAATAGTAACCCAAGCCCACGCCCACTAGTAACCCAAACCCACACCCACTTGTAACGTAGGTTTGGGTTATTAGTAGGCGTGGGTTTGGGTTACTAGTGGGCGTGGGTTTGGGTTACTAGTGGGGGTGGGTTTGGGTTACTAGTGGGCGTGGGTTTGGGTTACTAGTGGGCGTGGGTTTGGGTTACTAGTGGGTGTGAGTTACTAGTGGGCGTGGGTTTGGGTTACTAGTGGCCGTGGGTTTGGGTTACTAACGGGCGTGGCTTTGGGTTACTAGTGGGGGTGGGTTTGGGTTATTAGTGGGCGTGGGTTTGGGTTACTACTGGGCGTGGGTTTGGGTTACTAGTGGGTGTGGGTTACTAGTGGGCGTGGGTTTGGGTTACTAGTGGGCATGGAATACTTGTGGGCGTCGGTTTGGGTTACTAGTGGGCGTGGGTTTGGGTTACTAGTGGGAGTGGGCTTGGGTTTTAATAGTGGGCGTGGAATACTTGTGGGCGTCGGTTTGGGTTACTAGTGGGCGTGGATTTGGGTTACTAGTGGGCGTGGGCTTGGGTTTTAATAGTGGGCATGGAATACTTGTGGGCATGGGTTTGGGTTACTAGTGGGCATGGGTTTGGGTTACTAGTGGGCGTGGGTTTGGGTTACCACTGGGCGTGGGTTTGGGTAACTAGTGCGCGTAGGCTTGGGTTACTAGAGTGCGTGGGTTTGGGTTACTAGTGAGCGTGGGTTTGGGTTACTAGTGGGCGTGGGTTTGGGCTGCTAGTGGGCGTGGGTGTGGGTCACTAGTGGGCGTAGGTTTGGGTTACTATTGGGTGTGGGTTTGGGTTACTAGGGTTACTAGTGAGCGTGGAATACTAGTGGGCGTGTGTTTCGGTTACTATTGGGCGTGGGTTTGGGTTACTAGTGGGCGTGGGTTTAGGTTACTAGTGAGTGTGGGTTTGGGTTACTAGTGGGCATGGGTTTGGGTTACTAGGGGGCGTGGGTTTGGGTTACTAGTGGGTGTGGGTTTGGGTTACTAGTGCGTGTGGGCTTGGGTTACTAGTGGGCGTGGGTTTGGGTTACTAGTGGGCGTGGGTTTGGGTTACCAGTGGGTGTGGGTTTGGGTTACTAGTGGGCATGGATTTCGGTTAGTAGTGGGCGTGGGTTTGGATTACTAGTGGGCGTGGGTCTTAACCAGAAACCAATGCCACCTTAAAACCACGCCCACTAGTAACCCAAACCCACGCCCACTCGTAACCCAAACCCACACTCACTAGTAACCCATACCCACGCCCATTAGTAACCCAAACCCACGCCCACTAGTATTCCACGCCCACTAGTGACCCAAAACCCAAACCCACGCCCACTAGTAACCCAAACCCAACCAGAA